TATTGCACTTCTGATGGGATAAATTTTGTCGACGACTACACCCTGAATTAATCAGACAGCTCCACAGTTGGGTGGGAGTATTTTTGGCTCTCCTACGTCTTGGTTACCGGCAATCAGCGTCGTTAACCCATAGTGTATTTGGATTTCATTTACGGTTCTGTCAAATTCGTTATCTCTGCACCAAACGTAACGCCTGCATCCCCAGTTAGAACTAACTTTTTCTAGGGGGCGAAGTTGGAGATTGTCATTTTTACCTTTTCGGAAGAAGAATTATTCCTGATAACCTATTCTACAACCGTCCCATGAAGTAAAACCTCCAGGATACTTTTCGCCCGGGTCACCCATTTTTTACCGGTCTTTAAAGTCAAGGTCGACATTTATATACTTGGTCACTCAGTGAATTTCACTTAGGTTTATCATTTAGTTAGATCGAGTGGGCTTAAAGATTGCACCCTGGGTGTGGAGTTAACTGCGCGCCTGTTTTGCTTACTAGGAGAGTGAGTGATGATCCAACACCTGTCGGGTATTTCGTCTTTACGAACCTTGCCTCAGCGAAAACGTCACCGTTGTTAGCGCCATCGGATGTGCCAGGGTCGAGTAGAAGTTGCAGTCTGGAATCTCAATCGGTTTGATCAGTGTACCCTCAGGAGAACAAGTATTCAGAGGAATGTGTTTAGTCCAAGGGTTAAAATTGCAGAGACTAGGCTCACCTTGGTTCTCCCCTTTAGAACTGATGTGACAGTTTTCGTGCCTATGGGATGCGATCCACGGGGAGACGTTTGATCCTTCGTAAGACCTCTTGAATATTTGGGTGATGCTCCAGGTTCATCCTTACGGTAGTCAAGAAGGACAAGTTGTCAAGTAGCCACAAGAGCCTTTTGCCTCCTTTTCGTCGTAATCATTNATGAGCTATGGGGGCAGCGCCTCCCAATTCATTTGAGTCTATCTGGGCAAATATTTGTGAGTTGAATCACTCATACACCTAAGAAAGATGATTACTCAACCATGTTTAAACGTCGCCTTTGGATTTCTAGCCTATCTGCAGGGGGGACAATGCATGTCATTTGCAAGGTACCATCTAAATATGCCAAATGGCCAAGAGCGTACAGTAACTAAATACGAAAATAAACAAAATATCGTTACTCTCATCAATATTTGTTGGCCATTCATGTGTGAATTTTCATTACATTTGTTTGGTTTCACATGATGGACAGCGGACGTACCACCAGTTTTCCTTCATGCTGAAAAGTGGTTATGTTGTGTCTAAACAGCAGCATACCTTAGCGTGTATTGATAACGGAAATATTGAGTTGGAATCAGTAAGCAAAGCCTGACAAATTACACTCGTGGCTAGACCCACTGCCCAAGCATTCGCTCCCTTCCCTTTTTTGATGGCGTGTTCACTATTGAGAACATCGTAAAATAATTTGAAGTACTTTTCAATAAGGTCTTGCGGAATTTTGTTGTATCCTTCTTTATCATCCGCTGTACCGATTTCCGGGTAAACGCTTCTAAGCTTCAACCCAGCACAGGTGACCGAACTCCAAATCGGAACTACAAGACTTATTGGTGATCTTTGAAGCCCTACCGGCCTTTTCTCCTTGTTCTCCCAGAAGGTATCCTCCGATAGCATCTGGAGACAACCCCAGCTTCTTACTTATTGCATTACAGAATCTGGAAGAATCAACCATTGTCCCAAGTCCAAGAACGCGGTTTTTTGGAAATCCACTGATTCGCCAAGCCACATAGGCCAAAACATCAACTGCGGTCTAATAAGCATGCAAGCTTGCGAAGTACCTGGCTTTATCAATACGATTATTGTACATTTTGGGCTGTTTTCAACCAAGTGTGGAATCACAGCTGTAGCAATTAAGCTTGTTGTTAATAAGTTACTTTTTAGTGCGTCAACATTTCTTTGCACATGACTAAGCTGATTTTCATTGTCTCTTTTGTCAACTCCAGCGCATAAAATCGCAATGTTGGAGTTAGCGGACAGTTTGTAATCTGAAACATTAACATATATGGTGGAAGCTCTCACTCGATCCACCGTATATAGAGACTTTTGGAAGATATTGCCTTGCATTCTGTAGATCACTTATTTCAGCTTCTACCTTCTCTACGTTCAGATCGACAATGACCAGTTCTGTTGGTATACCCTGTTCCAAAATACGCCAAAAGTGAATCATTTATTACTTTAGTCAATAAACTAAAAGCGGTTGCCATGCCCACGGACCCAGCCCCGATAATAGTGATTTTAACGGCAGGACTGGCTGAACGCTTGCCAGCGTATATGGGCACATAAACTTTATCTCTCAGGGTCTGCATTCTTGAAAGTGAGTTCGCCTGCTTGCCGCGGAAACTTATAGCACTTTCAAAAACCCGCTGAAAAGTTGTGCTTACCTCTCGTACTCACTGAAAGACTAAAAAGAGTTCCCCGTTGGTTCGTGGACTGGATC